TATCAATCGTTTCGTTCTATTTTTTTATTGACAGATATTTTTTATTTTCAACTATAGGATTGAAATACCTTAACGTTATTAACCTTTTTTTACTACTCTTATTTTAAAAGTGATCGTAAAATGGATCGTCCTTTAAATGCATAATTAATAACGCTACGGTATTTCAACTGAAAACAGAAACAGTGTCTGTCATTAATGTCTGTCATCATAACTGAAAACAAAAAGAGTATCGGCCATCAAATGAATGATTGTAATTACAAATAATAATATAACATTATTATGCACTATTCAAACCTTAACGTTACTAACCTTTTTTTACTATTCTTATTTTAAAAGTGATCGTAAAATGGATCGTCCTTTATATATATATATATATTTTAACTTCTAATAGCTTATTAAATATGCTTATTTATATTTCCATGAAAATGCTAATGTTAGGACATCGTAGATTAGATAAAAAAATTATGATATCGTAGATTAGATTAAATACAAAATATTCATCATATCATCTAATTCTCTTTCGTCTTCCTTTTTTTCGGGTAAAAATTTTTAATAAATAAATTTTTAAATTTTTAAAATTTAAATTATTTTGTAAATAATTAAAATGGCGCAAAAATCTAACAAGATTTTTTGCATATATATATATATAATTTAATATATCATATATGTATCATAAAGTCATTTAACTTATATATATAGGTTAAATGACTTTATACGACATTTATTCAGATCAATGAATAGAGCAGTAATTAAATCTCAATTGATCGAACAGCTCAATAGTAAAAAAATCAACAGTAAAACTTCTGCTATTCGACTCACTCAATTACCACCCAAACCATTAATTATACATACCGGTGATGGACCATATTCAGGTTTGAAATAATTTTGTCTTTTTTTTTTTATTTTCATTTATTAAGTACCAATGCAATAGATTTTCTCATTTTCATTTATTGAGTACCAATGCAATAGATTTTCTCATTTTCATTTATTGAGTACCAATGCAATAGATTTTCTCATTTTCATTTATTGAGTACCAATGCAATAGATTTTCTCATTTTCATTTATTGAGTACCAATGCAATAGATTGAAATTTATTCCAATTTTAAAATGAAAAAATAATTTAGTAATGTAAACAGTTCATACGAAAAAAATTCATAAATTGTATTCGAGAAGATATAATTTACAATTCGTAGTTTGATTATCNAGTACCAATGCAATAGATTTTCTCATTTTCATTTATTGAGTACCAATGCAATAGATTTTCTCATTTTCATTTATTGAGTACCAATGCAATAGATTTTCTCATTTTCATTTATTGAGTACCAATGCAATAGATTGAAATTTATTCCAATTTTAAAATGAAAAAATAATTTAGTAATGTAAACAGTTCATACGAAAAAAATTCATAAATTGTATTCGAGAAGATATAATTTACAATTCGTAGTTTGATTATCGATGAAAAATTGTTGAAAATGATTGCAATTTTTTTAGGCCCAACATTTAATTGCAAAGTACTAATACCTATAAATGATGGTCGGCCTTCACCAACTAATGATAATACATGTCTTTTGAAACAACCTGGCATTTCCGCTGATGGCAGATGCCGTTGTACATATGTGGTTAGTTTACATATAATTAAAATTAATTTCATAGTGCTTTAATTAATTTCATAATTTCATACTAATGCAGAGAAATAATGCCGGAAAAAAGATTGATAAAAATTTCGTTGTATGAATTTCAAAAAAATTTAATTAATTACAGGTATCGGATCGTGACAGTGATGGTTGCGCACTAGGATTTTTGTTTACTTGCTTACCAAAATAAATTAAAAAGAAGCCAATTATTTATTATGAATAAGCTGGTTATGACACCAATATGTTAGTAGAAATTTGAAAGTTATTGATTACATAGTGGCAACGGTAGTGAATGATACTACGACCTCTGCACTGATTATCGTATACAGTCTAAGATTTTTCTAAAATACCACTATTTTGGCATAATTTAAGTTTGAATCTTTTTATCATTCAATAAATTAAGTTGCCTAAAAACTTTTAATATCTAAAGCAAATTGAGAAAGATTAGCAAAGTACCACCGTGAATACAAAGATCAGCAAAGTAGCACAGTGAATACAAAGATCAGCGAAGTTTTACCACAGTGAATACAAAGATCAGCGAAGTACCACATCTTACAAAGACCAACAAAGTACCATCGTGAATATATTAAATTAAGAAAAAGTTTGAGATTGATATCATTTTATTTAAAGCTATTATTAATGTGATATTTTTGGATATACAATGCCAATATTTCATTTATTATAATATTTTAAGTTGTCCTTGATAATAGCAACATATTATAGAATGCTTTTATTAATTTAAATTTTGTCTTTCAATAAAATTATGCTTTTACTATAAGAATAAGAAAATCTTCCGCTAATGGCTCAAAATTTAAAATGTTAATTTTCCTAATTAATGACAGATCTGTGATTTACGAAACTGAAGATCCGAGGAGATTCATTAACAGAATTCTCTTATGTTAGATGGAAATAACAATGCTTCTAATCATCATAAATTATACTTGCCTAGAAATAGAGGATAGTTGAAAATTAATTTAAGAGAAAAGTTTTATAATTATTTTATAATTAAATTTTATAATTAAGAGAAAAATTTTATTATTAAATTTTATATTTATAATTAATTTTATAATTATTTATGCTAACAAAATAACAGCGAAAAATTATTGCAAATCATTGAAAAGACATATTATCATGTATTAAACTATTCGGAACAAAATTTTCCAACTTCTTTAATCTCTATAAATAATCATAAGAAATTTGTAATGTAAACAAAAGTTGACCTATATGCATATAAATCATTGATCGTTTGTTAATTGAAATTATCTAAACAATAAAATATTTTGATGTTGATTTGAAAATGAATGAATGACCTTTGTGATCCTGTGATTGACACTGTTTGATTTTTTTTAACGTAAAATGTCGAATTTTTCGATTTTATCGAAGATTTCAAACATTATTTCAGTTTTCAGTCATTACCGTTAATGTTCAATTAATTGAATTTAGAATAGGTGAACAATGAAATTAGTGAAAACAATAAACGTTGTTCATTGAAATTGATTTATATATAGGAATCATTGAGGGATACTGATATATCATATATTTTATACAATTTTGAAATAGTTTTCTATAGAAATAGCTCTTCTGATTCTTGACCGGAAATTAAAATCAACTGGAAGATATGGAAGTATTTCATTGATTTTCTTCATATCCTTCCACTAACATCACTTTTTTCATTGTTTCCAGAAAGTTAGCTTGTAGAAGTTTTTTAATAAAGGTTTATTTAATACTCTCTATTGCAAACCAAATTATTGGAAGTAATAAATCAATTTGCTATATAATACTCCTATAATCTACTGGGTAGTTTTATATTTTAATTTTTCCTTTCCATCCTTCCATCCTCACTTTTTGCTCATTGTAAAGCATTTTGCCCAAATATTTACGTATCGATGTCAAGAATAAACTTTACATATTCATATAATAAAAATGTGGAGTAAAGTTTACATAATCATACAATAATACACTTGCTTTGAATCGAATATGCATTTGTCAAGTCAAATTGAATTTTGGTTTGAAGTTGAAGCGTACTGATTTTATGGACTGTCTATTATCCGAAAAAAACAAATTAAGAACAATCTTCAGTTATGTTCTTCACGATAGCAACTAGTACCAAAAGATGTCTCAATTCATTCGTCAATTAAAAGAATCCGTATATATAAAAAAATTCGAAGTGTTAATTTACCCAATCATGCCAAAGTGAATTCAGTTGATCGCAACAAAGTAGCTGAAATTCTTCGTCCCTTTGAGTATCAGCATATCATTATCAGAGAGGGTATTTGAGAGTAGGTATCGCATTGGATTGTATGATGGTCCATTTGTATAAGGTAAGCTATGTTGAACAAAATCTATAATTATTTTTCCAGAACTTCTGCATTTGTCATTATTGTTCAATACTAACTCAAAATGAATTTCTGACCCCACTAAAATAGAGCATCTTTATGCTAGGTTGGACAAATTGATAGATGGCTGTCAGAATAAGCTATTATCAGCTGATAGCTATAATTATTATCACTAAGGTGAAGAAGACTGATTGATTTTGTATCCCTATGAATATTTGAATGTTCGTCCTATATGACATTTGATGCAGAAGGGAGAGAATTATTCAAAAACAAACTTTGGATGATGAACCCAAAGATTTATACTCGTTTTCAACAAAATGAAATCTAATAGTAAATGAAACCCAAAAAGTTTACAAAATGCACAGCAATTTCATCATTCAACAATAAAATTTGAAGGACAAAGTATCAAATACAAAACTTGGACGAGGAAGCATGAAAAAACGATTGTTAAATATATAAAATGACCGCACTAATATAAAAAGATTAGTCCTAGTAAAGAATTTATAAATAATAATAATAATACGGAATATAACGAATGAGTATAGATAACAGGAAAAATTAAATCCCTCGCAAACTATAGAAAAAAATAACTCATGGTGAATTCAAAAGAATGAGACCAAGAATTCTCGAGAGGCTCCGCTTTGAAATTTTTTAAATAAGAATAGCCCCTGCTGAAAAAGATAAAGTACCAACAAGACTAATACGATAAATACCATTTCAATTTAAAATATAGGAAGGAAAATCGGCAACAACTAATTTACATCTATAAGAGATCTTTTAAATTCTTTCAATAATTCAAAACCATTTTTTATCAAGCAAATTTTTAGTAATCTAATGTGCTCAAACTTAAATTTAAGAGAGAGCGACTTAATATAAATTCCACATGCAAAAGTGTGCCTAAGTAAAATACATTAGTCAGTTTTTTAACTCTGCTCTTTGTGCAAGAAGTTGAAGTTCAATACTGATAGGATGCATGCTGCAAAACATATGAATGCAGTAGTATACGTTTAAAATAAAACTCTTACCATAAATGAGTGCAAATCCTACGACTAAAATATGCATGCGCATATTTTTTTGACTTCTCAATAATGAGAATAAAAAATACTCCAAACAGATATGAACGAAAAAGTGTAAGAAATCAGATTTGAAATGAACTGCTTAAATATTCCCTTGTGCAAAAAAGGGAATTAAAAGCAGAAATTATTTTACAGTGAAGATATCGGGACTAATTAAAGAAAAAGAATATTTCATTATCCACCAAGAAAAAATTTTTGAAAAGTAAATAAGAACTATTAGAAATTACTAATAGGAAGACTGGAAATGAAGCCACTGAATATACACTGTATTTTGTAATCAAACGATTAAACATAACAATCTGAATAACCAAACTATAATTTCTGAATTATATGTTACTACTTTGTGGCTTACCAAATTCGCATCGGCTAACAAAATATTGCACCAAGCCAAAGCCATCTATTTCAAAAGCTTCTGAAATAAAATAAGTATGAGATCTTGTGAAAATATGTAATTTCTGTCTGATAATTAATACCACCTGCGTTTTCATTCATGTATTCTTGCCAAAAGTGAACTGTAGACGTGTTTCCAATTTTTTTAGTAGTTATAATAGGTAAAAAAAACACATTCAACTCCGAAGAATAGTATATTACATATCATTAAACAAAACTATTCAGCTCTTTAAATTCATTAGCACAGAGCTGCTACTCGATCAATACAACTGGATAATATCAGTTGAGATTTTACCACATTTTACGTTCAGTTTGCAGGGAATAATAAACAATATAGAATACTTATTCATGTATTATTTTCGTTGGTAAAAATCCCAACTAATATTATCTAGACGGAAACTAAATGTCACAAAATTTCTAGGATCACTATACATACTGGTAAAGTTAGTTGGAAAAGTGATTAATGACCTAGTTTTTTATTTGCTTTGATTTAAAATTCGTAAGAAGTTAGGGAATGAAATTTAACAAACTTACCCTTCACAGATACAACATGTGCTCTTGTCTCACCCTTGTTTGAATAGACTACCTTAACTGCACCATCATGACATTGAACGACACCAATAAATTCCACTTTGGGTTCATAATCTAAAGTTGCCATAAATTAAACATATTAATGTTGCAAAGACTATCAATAACATTGTTTCTAATTAACTACAGCGATAAAAACTCACACAGCTCTTTTGATGAATTATTTCCAACAAAATGCAAAAATTGGAAACACTGATATAAACCTAATGCGAGAAAATCTTTAAAAAAAGTCATAAAATCATAGAGATCAATACTAACTGGAGCAAGGAAAATAACTGATAATAAACGATAAAATAACTAATTTCTCCTTGCCTCGAATTGCAATACAAAAGAACTATAAAATACAAGTTTAACAAAATTTCGCATTATTGAGAATTAAGTAAAAGGTAAACTCAATGAACATCAATTTTTTGACATACTTTCTTCCACTGCGTTGGCCTGAAAATACCATCGAATAATACAAAATATTGCAAAATATAGTTTAAATGATCACGTTTTTATTAGAATCTTTGCAGGTAGCAAACTAATGTCTTATTATAAGTATTTTAAAGGAGAATATAAAATATAAATAATGCTATATATAAAATATAAAATCTATATAAAATATAAATAATGTTTTATATGATTTAGTATCTGATAGAAGGATAGTTACAATATAAGACAAAAATTATAGAACTAGAAAACTTTGACTTCATGGTTACCTTCGCAACTTTTCCCTTTCCTTTCTGTTTCTTTTCATTCAACAAAACAGCGATTTTTTCATCAAAATTGCTCCCGCACTGTTCTTCAGGCGTTGCCAGTGACATATTGCTTTTTTCAGCACCCTTTTCTTTCAACTGATTATTGCCTTTTGTCTCACGTAAAAAAACATCTAAAAAGGAAATATTTTCGAGTTAAAAAAATCAACTGAGGAAACAGAAAACTCCCCAGCTGAAAATAATGTTATTTGCCAACAGCATAAATTTCCTGGGTTAAAATCACAAACTTAAATTAAATTAAGTAACAACAGATGAGAGATTCATGAGAGATTTAAGTAACAACAGATGAGAGATTCACGAATAATTTGTCATTACCATTTTTTTTTGTCCCTTCGATGCCTTCTGAAACGTCGGAATCTGCATCCTCGGCGTCATCATAGAGCCAAGCATTTTTTGCCTTCTTTGGCGATAAATCCTAAAATTCAAAGAGCGATCGGTACTCTTCAATTTTTAACATTTCATAATTAAAACGGTGCTGGAATGCGAAAATTCTTTCAGCACATGATCTCCATGTCGTATTTCAGCTTTATTGAAAACATATTCGAATAAAATTAGAACTCACTAAAATGTATTCAATTATCCCATTCAATTAAGTTATAATTTAAATATATTTGTACGGAAAATAAACCTTGGTAAGTGGTTTATTTTGTTTGCTCTCTGATAAATCTACAATTCTTGTTCTCTCCAGTTTAGTATGTGCTGTTCGACTTCTCCTAAAATTACATATAAAATCAGCAGTTTCTTCGTGATCAACTACGGAAATTAGTCAGAATAAATTTATAAACATGACAAGCCCTTTAGCACAGATGCCCATCTAATCAACAAACAAATGTAAGAAGTAATTGCTAATGCAACATGCAGGTAACACATAAAATCATTCCAAACTTCTAGAATTGAAAAACTTTCATTCTTTAAAGAAAACGCAACTTTTTGCCTCATAATAATTGATGAATTATAAAAATTACCTCCCGCGCTTCTTTGAAACTTTTTCATAGTCCTTGTCACTATCGTTCTCACTACCATAATCTTCATATTCGGTCTTTCTCTTTTTCCTAGCTCGAAGACTCACTGTCTTCTTAGTTTCTGAATATTCCGAACTAGAGCTTCGTTGTAATTTCCTATTTCCCTATAATAAATATCATTTGAAACTGATAAGATATCTAGTAATAAAAGTTTTTTTTGTACCCTTTGTTTTACATGATTGAAACACTATCTCAATAAATTATCATAAACTTATTACTTTAACGAATCTCCGAACTTTCATGACTGATTAGGCAGTACTATAGAAATATAGTGGATGATTGCAAATCTTAAAACTCAAATTTTCTTAAATCTAAATAGGAATAAATACTATGTATTTCATTTCGAAAGAATTTACTTCAAAAGAAAGCTTATGTATTTCATTTCAGAAGAATTTACTTCATTTCGCGGTTTTATTCGATTTCTACCCCGTTTTCTTAATTTGTTCTGAGTCAGGATTGCATCTTGAGCCTTTTTCACTTCGTCTTGATGATTTGCAATGTATTCATCAAGGATTAGCCGTGCTGTTTCCAGATTCTGCTCGGGTTCCCAAGAGTCCTCATCTGATCCATAACCTTTCCACCGTATCTAAAAAAAGAAATTAGAATAAGAGAAATTGAAGATGAAGTCATACATTATCATCGGAATCAAATTATTCATTTTAAGTTGAACTTTGATTAAAATCAAAAATAAGCAAAGCTTAACCGTTACCTGATACTTCACTTCGCCATCCACTGCAGCAACATTTAGGATGTGATCCACTTCGAATTCATCTTCATCCAGTTCTTCATCGCCATCACTATCTTCTCCTACATCTTCATTTTTTCTTTCGTTTATATTGGTTTCATTCATTTCTGAATCTTCCTCAATAGCATTAACCTTAAATAATAATAATAACCTGTATTTTCACTCCTAACAATGTAGCGCAAAACATCTGAATTAAGATTCTTAATTAATTTAAAAAAAACATAAAGAAATATATACCTTTATGGAATCGTTACTCATTATTTGTTCACTGATCTGATCGAAAACAAACTGAATCAATTTTATCTTAAAATATACAAATTCACATGACTCGGCATATATCAACTCAATACGTTTACTTGGATAAATAATGGAAGTGATTAGGAATTAAAACACTTATTAATGTAAAGTAAAAAAATGTCATTTAAATTTTTCATCAACGAAAAAGAATGAAACAATTAATTCTAGGCAGCAAAGTTACAAGGATAGATCATATATATCGAATATTTGAAAAATACTAATGAGACGAAAGAATAAACTGCCTAGAATTAAAATATAGTTTTCGAAGGAATGATCTTTTAATATGAAATCAGAAGTTATACATACTGTCAGGACATTACCTAATAATGAACGAATATAATTAATCATCAATAATCTTAGTGATTGTAGCAAAATGACACAAGCGGAATGTATGTGTATGTGTGTGTGTGTGTGTGTGTGTGTGTGTGTGTGTGTGTGTGTGTGTGTGTGTGTTGATGTACTAGTACATGCTCATATATAATGGAAAGCGTCAGTTAGCGAAAATGTTAGAAAGCGGAAATTTTCTTAGCATAAGTGTGATAATAAGAATTATCTCATATAATCACCCATAGTATTACATTAATTAACCTTGTCATTAGTTGACCCGTTTCTTAAGTATTTTACTAGTGATTGCAACAGTGATTTCTACTAGCATTTCTCAGTTCACCTGTTGATTAGTTATTATAAGTTTGATTCACTTAATTATGTCTTAGAAGACAAATTCGAGTAAGAGCAGCGTATCCATTGTTTGTTTAGGATTAGAATTCTCATTATGGACACGGCTTTTCTATATGATATAAATTTATTCTATTTTAACTGAGATAAAAATTATTTATCCCCTTCAAACCCACGTATATCACATCTTCTAAAGAAAGAAATGCCATTGTTAGAGCGCTTTTGTCGCATATTCCTTTGTTATCTCAACTGTCAGCGCATTGTATTTGATGCAACGAATTGGATATCACTACTCAACTTACACTGATCAATGTTAATTATGCTCGAATCAATTCTCAACTAAGACAATGACTCCTTAGTAATCTGCAAACGTTAACCTGACGTGAACTTATCCATCGAAATGAATACATGTTATTTTTTTCAACACAAAAATGATGAACGAAAGGAAAAGAGTGTTACAAAATGAGAGAAGGAAGAGAAAAAAGAGAGAATATTTATTCATGGTAATGATGAGTAGAAATAAAGAAATGAAAAAGAGTCGAAGATTGTTCGTAATTTCTAAATTTCGACCTTATATCATGATAACTATGATAACATATCTTAACATACCTATGATAACATATCTTAATCTATCAATGAAACATTTATTATGTATATACTATGATAATGTACTATGATGTATGTACTATGATAACATGGTAGCATATCGTACTATAATATATAATCTTATAAGTGATCTTATAAGATTATAATATAATATAATATAATCTTATAACATAATATAATATAATATATAAAATATAATCTTATATAATCTTATTAGATAGCATATCTTATAATCATAGTACTATAATGTACTATGGTAACACACCTATGATAACATATCTAAATCTATTAATGAAACATTTCTATAACTAACAAAAGTTTTAATTAATACAATTTTAATTAATACATTTTCTTTTAATAATTTCTGAAGGTCAAATAAAAATTCAACAAAAAAGTCAATCAGCTATTTTTTTTTTGTTTATTTCATTTCATTACAGTAACTTATTAATTAGTAATTACTTAATTTCCAAAATATTAAAATGAAATTTTTTCTTTATGAATTTTATAGTACGGATGAGTCATCTTTGATAATTTAAAAAAGAAGAACTGAAAAATTAGCAAACGTTTTGTTTTTAGTATTTATTTGATGAAGCATTGTTGAGCGGTTCATTCAACATTGTTGTAATTTTTTTGTTTTTGATAAACAAAAGCAATATGCTAAAATCATCGCGGCAAAAATCATACGAGACAGCCACAAAGAGTGATAATTTTCCAACTGGAATAACGGTATGTGTATTTTAACATATGTTGTTTTACTTAATTACTTGTTAATTTAATTTCTATTCTTCACTTCTAATCTTATTACTCTATTTGAAGTGTAAATATGATGCTTTGATTTAGAATAGAAAATGCTTAGATGATATTTCGATGAATGTAATTTTAATTTCAGGTAACAGTAATTTTAGAGAAGCCTTTTGGTTTAAGAATAAACAAAGATGATTTAAGGGTAAATTTTTAAATCATGCAAAAAACGAAGATATGAAGAAGTATTAAATAATAGTTAATTATATCCAACATTCTCTTTAATCTTTAAGAAATACTTAAAACTCTTCCGTAGTATTTGAAGAAGTGAAAAAACGTTCGATACGTATCGAAGTAGTACCAATTAAATTTTGTTTGTCATATAAACATTTAGAATAAAGAATTGGTTCAGAATTAGATATTAGAATTAGACGGAAATAAATAAATGAATAATAATCAAATAAGACTTTTAAAAAAAATTTGAAAATGAAAAGAGAGGTATAATTCTCAAGATTAAATATTATTTAACATCTGCTATTTTAAGAGACATTTTAAAGAGTGATTTTAACTTACGATAACTTCCTTTTAAGTGAACCTAAAAAGTAAAGAAATATCCATTCCAAAAATAATAATAAAATAGTACGATAATTTTTTTTTAGAAATTATGATTATTGCTTAATTATTTGCATTTTTATTATTACTAATATTATTATTCATTTGTGTTGCTTTTAGGAATTCATTCATTCTGCAAAATTATAAATTACCTATCGCTCATTCCCTTTTTTTGAATTGCAAAACTTTGAAATATAGGTAACATCGGTTGGATCACGTTGCTCATCAGTTGGACAAGTTGGTGTGGGTGATAAAATTATTGCGATAAATTATGAAAAATTGCAAACAATTAAGGATTTGAATAAGCAACTTTCTAAACCAGGAAAAGTATGTATCTTTTTCTTTTTCGGAATATCTACAAATGATATCATAAAATTGTGATCATTATCCAATCATATGATATCATAGAATTGTGATCATTGTCCAATTAAATGATATCATAGAATTGTGATCATTATCCAATCAAATAATATTGTGATCATTATCCAATCAAATGATATCACAAAATTATGATCATTGTCCGATTAAATGATATCATAGAATTGTGACCATTGTACAATGAAATGATATCATAGAATTGTAATCATTGTGCGATCAAATGATATCATAGAATTGTGATCATTATCCAATCAAATGATATCACAAAATTACGATCATTGTCCGATTAAATGATATCATAGAATTGTGATCACTATCCAATCAAATGATATTGTGATCATTGTGCGATCAAATGATATCATAGAATTGTGATCATTATCCAATCAAATGATATCACAAAATTATGATCATTGTCCGATTAAATGATATCATAGAATTGTGACCATTGTTCAATGAAATGATGTCATAGAATTGTGATCATTATCCAATCAAATGATATCATAGAATTGTGATCATTATCCAATCAAATAATATCATAGAATTGTAATCATTATCCATATCATTTTCATATATTAATCAAATAATATATTTTCGCTATAAATGCAAGTTAATTTCTTTTAAAAATTTTTTTAGTATTAATTTAAATTTTCTCGTAATTTCATCGATAAAAGATAACATACTTATCTTTATGAGTTTATTGATAAAAAGATGGAAAAATATCGTAACTCATATTTTTGAATTATCAAAATAATCACAAATTCTAATTCTGTTGAAACAATATGAAAAATAAAACTTAACTATTTTTAACTAGGAGGCAAGGGTTACACTTGAACGATGTGGTTTTTCATGTTGCAAACATATGATAACAACCGTTGAAACATTAACTGTTGAAAAGGGTAGCTCATTGAAAGTATTACGAGCTATTGAAGTATATTTGGTATGATATTTGTTATATCTTAAGATTTAAACAAACTAATAAATTTCATATTAATAAAGCACTTATTAGTTTTTAAATAAAAACTTAAAATAAATTACTTACACATCCCGATACTTCTCGTTTATCGGTAAAAAATCACCAGAAGAATTACGATAGTTTCATTTTTAAAGCAATTATTGAAATATATGATCGTTTTATAAATTTGATAGTATTGAAGAATTTTTAGGTGTTAATTCGAATAAAATCATTTCCGGAATTGGATCTAGGCGAGGAATTTGGCTTATCCGTAAAATATGATAATAGAGAGCAATTACAAGTAGCAAGTGTTATTCCGGGAAGTTTAGCATCTATACATCTTCGACCTGGCGATGTTATTAAGTTAATTCTTAATACCTGTTGAAAATTAATTGTTGAATTTAGATTAATGATATTACAGATAAAGAAAAAAAAAAGAATGAAAATTAAATTATATCAATTATATGATTGAAAAATTTTAGCATTTATTTGCTGCTAATTAATTAACAAAATAAATTTATATAAATACATGTAATTAAAACAAGAAACCTAGCAAAGCTTTTTATGTATTACATTTTAAAAAGTGAATGCTTTCAGATTGATTTATTTCATAAAATAAAATCGACATAAATTAAAATTGAAATTAATAAATAATATTTTAACAATTAGTTAGTAAGTCTAACAATTAGTCAATTAGTTGTGTCAATAACAATTAATTAGTATATTAATACCTTAACAATCAATTGGTGTGTCAATATTTTAACAAAAAATTCAACAATTAATTAGTGTGTTAATACCTTAACAATTGATGTGTCAATATTTTAACAATTAATTTAACAATTAATTAGTGTGTTAATATCTTAACAACTAATTGCTGTATCAAAAGATGAAATTGAACAGAATTAAACGAAAAAAAAAGGAAGAGCTTGATTAAGAGAATATTAAGAAAATTAATTAGTTTGATAATAATTATAGACAAGTAAATGGCGAATATATAACAAGTAAAACAATGTTAGCTTTTTGGATAAGGCATGGCTTTATTACTAAAAGTGAGGTTGGTCTTTTAATTACATTAACAATAATTAAGCAAACATTCATTTAGGGAAAAATTTATTTTCAAAAAGAAGATATATTTTAATATTTGAATTTGATAAAATTAATGCGTAAACTTTCTTTAGTAGAAGATAAGAAAGAAATGTTATTAATTTCGTTTCACAAAAAAACTTACTGAAATTTTACAGAAAGCTAAATTGAATTTTTATTTAAAAACATAAGAAATTTTCTTACTTCTCTCTTTCGTATATAATTCAGTTTAACAAGTAAGAAATAAAAACACGGATAAATTTTTAAAATGAATTATTTGAAATTTTAGATAAGAATATTGATTCAGACCGGAGTTGAAGCTGATATGCATATTGAAATGCCAGATGATGTGCAATATATAGCGCAGAAACAGGTCTGGGTAATTTTGTAAGATTAAAAAAAATTAACAATAGCTGCTTCATCGGTGATGTGATATTATGGATTAGACTAGTTTGGAATAGGATCATATCATTATTTGCCCTGAAAAAGAAAAGATAAAGAGATAGTTTTTATTGCCAAAATAAACAGTAAATCAATATTTACCCATCAAATTTATTTCTTCATTTAACTTGACTATTCAGTTAGTAAAATATCTGTTTACAGCTAACAACTTTCAAGAGTCTAAAATCACCAAAATCTATGATGAGCTTGATAAAAAAAACCAATTCTTCAATCGGAAAGCACATCACAATTTCCATGGAAGAACCGAAGGTAATCGAAATATGCAGCGATTACGATGAGAGAACTCTCAAGCGTGTTCAAAAAAGCAAATGAAAATTGATATGTAACAATAACAATCTGCACATTTGCCAGTTTCATATAATAAATAAAGAACTGTATCTAAATAAACAACTGCAAGATAACTACAAAGAGAATTTGCAAGTGCTACATGTGAAACTGCGTGGGAAACTCTGTTTTTCCCGTTTAATAAAATTCCATTTAGTCCATTTCAATGTTCAAATTTCTTCTAACAAAATATAATGATGCATTGTTGTTGCATTATGATTTTCTGATTAAAC